AGAGAGAGGTAGGTGGAGCAGGAGGAGAGGGAGGGGAAACTGTGGTTGGCATTTAAAATCAATAAAAAATTTTAAAAGCCGGGCATTGGTAGCATGTGCTACCAATTAGTAATTAGTAATTGATATGGGAGGGTCCAGCCCATTGTGGATGGTGCCAACCCTGGGAAGGTGGTTCTGGGGCGTATAAGAAAGTGAACTGAACAAGTTTTGAGGAGCAATTATGCAAGCAGCATTCCTCCATGCTTTGATTCTTGCCTCCAGGTTCCTGCTCTGAAACCTGATAGAATGACCTGAGAATTGTAAAATGAAATAAACACTTTCCTCCATTAAGGTGCTTTTGATCATTGTGTTTTTATCCAGCAATAGAAACTCTAAGAAAACTGGAACCCACCCCATACATACACAAATAAGTAAAAGCATAATAATACTGAAAAACAGTAGAATTAAGAGAAACAGATAAAACCACAGGAATACAAGGAAGAGTGTGGCTAATGCCCTATCACTATAAAAAGAGGCCAGAAAATTATTACGGACATTCAAGACACATGACATGTGTTTGTATGTGTACTGCAAACATGTGATGGCATTCTGGATGCGTTTAAATATGGAAAATCAAATAGCAAATACTGTCTGCCTTGGTGAAGCTCTGCCAAATCTCCTCCTGCCGGATGCTGCCTGACATGTCACCTTTGCTGGATTTCTCCGTCTTGCTTTCCCTAGGACTTCAAGGTTTACTGGTTTAAAAACATAGGTCACTTGCATACAAACCCTAGGCTCAAGGTCTCCTTTTCATAAACCAAACTTAAGACAAGGGATTCAGAAATCACATGACAAAGATAACTCATTACAGCTCTAAAGAGGGGCTGGAGAGATGGCACAGTGGTTAAGAGTACTAAGTATTCTTCTAGAGGACCCAGGTTCATTTCCCCGTACCCATATCACAGCTCACAATTCTAAAGAAGTGAGAAATGAATCAATACTTTTTAACATTCTCTGTTTATTAATTCTTGTCTGATACCATGCAGGGAATTGATTTCATGTGTAATTAGCAAACCAAGTCTTCTGAAAACAACTATTGTCTATCCTGACTCACAGTGAAATAAGGATGTGTTTTTCAAAGAGTGTCTTTCCTGAGCATCCAAACAAGAAACATCCTATTACTGGTATGATAAATTACTTAGAAAATGGAGATGGGGATAGAATAAGTACAGTGATGGGTAGAAAAATGCCATTTCTTTAAGAAATAACAAAGGACAAAATACTTGGCTTTAAAAAATGGTTGCTATGACAAATGGAAGAATAGCCTGACTTGATGGAAAGAAATTGAGCATTTATGCAAAAAATCAAGATGCTTTAAAGAGAACACATTGCCCTTGAAAATATCTTTCAAGGCACTTCTGCCATCACTGTGTACCAGCAGTTTTTTGCAGATATATAAAACACAAGTATATTTCTGAAATGTCTCTGAATTCAATTTGTATAGTGTGGGTTATTTTCATTATGGCAAGGAAGGAGAATATGAATAGCAAAGGTTTTCAGTACTTAATTTCCACTTTTTAATTTTAAAGAAGATAATTATGCAGATTCATATATCCATAGAGGAGACATTACCAAAACACTTTCAGGAGTTTTCCTGGTTTTTGGTACAAGCCAGGCTGCCATTTAATGGAAACTCACTGAAAATTAATAAGTGACTTAAAAGTGCTTTTTGAAAAAAATCTTATAAGCTTCTGGAAAACTAATTGATAATTAATTGTAGATTCTATAACAGGAAGATGAGATGTTTATCTTTGAACAACAAAACCATGAGGTGTATGATCCTATTGATATCAAAAGATTATTTACTTGAAATTTAAAATCTGAAATGTGATATTTAATAATAAAATGTTACTTATTAGAAATAAAACGCTTACTTTCACAGGAATACACATTATGTTAAACATTTTCTTATGAACTGTCCACCATTGGAGGTGGGAGGAGGCAAATATTTTTCAGTTCCCACCCTTAAATCCAACATTCAGTCATGTTCTAGATTACATGGACTTCTTCATACTGTCTGTACAATCTACAGTATAAAGAGAATGGCAGTGTCCTGTCTATTAGTACCAATCACCTTCTGCTACCTAGAGGTTTGTCCTCAACATTAATTATCCCTATAGATATTACATTAAAAAATATAACCCTAAAATGAGCATGCATGGGAGAGATAAGGATGAAGATAGACTTAGATGTACATACATGTATAAGGAAGATAGTTTACTGTCTATTTCTGTATCTCATATATAACTTTAAAGTGGTCATATAAATTGTAAATAAAATAGTATACATATATCTCTACAGAGAGATACACACAAATATATACACATATAGATAAAAACCCATAGAAAAGCAGCAAACTTAGTTATGACTACAGTGACATTATTTCAAACAAGGAACAGTTCAACATATACATGTGCATTTATCAGTTCGATGCTTGACATGTCTCCAAATATCAGATCTTTGTATGCCTGTGCCTAGAATTGCCTTGATGGTAAGACAGTAAAAACACTTGAAGGAAAATTCTGTAAAATCAAATTTCATTTGAACTCCATAAATCTATTCATTAAAATTATTAAGTTCTTGGTAGAACTTTTTCATTATTCTGTGGGACTCATTAACAGTTTGAGTTCTATTAAGGAGCTAGCATTTTCTCACTGGGATATCTTATTTTTAATTACGTTCATATAGTTATCTATGTGTGGACATATGCACGTGGGTACTGGTGCCCAAGGTGGCCAGAGGTGTCAGATCCACCTGAAGCTAGAGTCGTTGTCAGTTGAGAGCCACTCAGCATGGATGCAGGGACTGGAACTCAGGTCCTTGGCACAAGTAGTATTCACTCACATCCTGGGTCATCTCTCCAGAGTCCCTCATGCTGAGATTGCTATTAATGCATTAAGAAGCTTTGTGAAAATTCTATCAGAATTAAAATAAAATGGTAACCAAGCTAGAAGTTCAGTCCAATATTTCTCTGGGTTCTTAGGGAGTTAAGTGAGTCCTCAGGCTTTTAAGAAGGCCAAACTAATTTCATTCTTAGAGGTAAAGTAATAAGATTTGGTGAAAAAACATACTTGCAGATTAAACATTTAAAGAGTATTAAAACAGCATTATTATTTGCACTTATTGACCTCCCTGACTTCCAGGTTGAATGTATTATTCCTGAAATTGCATTAAATTCATTTGAACCAAATGTTTACCTTATTTGCTTTTCTCTAATCTTTCTCCTTCCTTCACTTCCACCAGGACTCAAATGAAACAATGAGCCTCCACATAAAGGTAGAAGGCAGTTTCTTAGCTGGGGTGTATGGGTTATTGATGTTACTAAGTTCAGACCTGCTTAGTGGCATATTTCAGAGGAATTAGGCATGCAGAACAAAACAATACATTTGCACTTTAGTTTTTCAGTCATCACACCAGAGAAGATCAACTTAAAGAACTTTTTGTCAGCTTGCAATGTTTGATAAAAGTCATAGTAACTTTGGGTAATGGCATACAACTGACAGGTCAGAATGATTAGTAAATGCCAAGCTGGAGTAATGGGTTTTTTTGCTGTTCCATTTTACTGATGGGGGTGGTAACGGCATGAGTGCATTTTCAAAAGGGTAATCAAAATAGCTATAACTATTAAAAATTATCTCTTGTGGGATGTTTCCAGGCATGGCATGGCTACTGTTGCACTCACAAACTGTAGATAACTTTGATTATCATAAGGAGACCTGCACTATATTGGAACCATTCATTTTCTATGGTGCATGTGGGGAGGGGTTCACAAAGCCTTACCCATCCCTGAGAATTAATAAACCACAAACGGTTGCTAGAGGAAGAGCTCATGAGGCCACCCATTTTCCAGAATACATAGTCTGAAGGCTGCTGGGGTAGGAGGTGAATTCACAAGCATATGTATCAGCTTCCTTAATCTTTACAACAGTGCTACGAGGAATAATGTTATCATTGTTGCTTTGTTGATGAAGAATCTAAATTTAAAAATTTGGGAGCAGTAGTAGGTAGTTCTTTTATCAGTGGAGCAAAATTACCTGAGATGAAAAAATTAAAAGTAAAAGGGTTATCATTCAGTGGATGCTTGGTTCTGTTTTGGAGATTGTAGAAAAATATAATGACGGGAGGATGTAGTAAGGGATGCTTATACACCTCACAGTGGTAAGAAAGCAGTATCCAATAACCCCTTTAAGGGCCATGCTTTCAGTGACTTAAAACTATGCGCCATATTCCACCTCTTAAAGATTCCACCCCTTCCCATTGGGACAATGTCTACAATGTCTTCAACACATTAACCTTTGGGAAACACACTAGATCTGTCAGGTTTGATTGTATGATGTCAGTCTATGGATTTATGTGTTTGAAAACTTGACCCCCAGATTATGGCATTGCTCTGACAGTGTGTAGATGCTTTCTAGGCACAAGGCTTAGCAGTTGACTGTAGGGTTGCACAGGTGGAAGTTGAGAGCTCTGCTTCTAATCTGTTTTTTCTGCTTTCTGGACTGCTGAAGTGCCATATTCCAGCTATCATCCTTACCTCATCGTGATGGATGACATTCTCTGAACTGGAAGCCAAGTTAAGTCTCCCCGACTGCTTGCTGCCTCACTTTCTTGTACAATTACAGCCATGTAAAAGTAACTAACACTGTAGCAAATTGCTCAAAGGCATAATTAGACATTTCAGACTTGGGGAGTCCTTCTTATTAGCTACTAACCTTGCTGTTAAAAATGAATGTTCTCATCTCATTAGCATCCTATTATTTGCTCATTTCCATCCTCTTCCCTGGCCAAATGGTATAGTGCCAAAGACATTTTCAAATGTTTGGGCTACTTCTGGAAAGTCAGAAAGCCCCTGATCAATATCTGTCTCCAGTGCTACTGTCAAATTTCCAACCAAAAGTACTGCAAACAAATAGAAAGCAGTCAAAAAGGGCAAAGCAAAAACAAACAAAAACACCCATTACCTTATTCTCTTGTCTTCCACTTTTTTCAAGTATTCATCTCTCTTTAGGACTCCCAGGATCATTTCCTTCTCATGATCCAATAAAAATGACAGGTTGATGAACTCTGAGTTCTTAGACATGGTACTGCAGGAGCAGCTCTGGATGGCAGCAGTTGAATCTTCCAGAAGGCAAATGGGTAATTACGATTGTTAAGATTCCCCCCTGGCCAACCTGGAGTTGTAGCTGTTCAGTTAAAAGGATTTTTTATAAGGTCTCCACAGATTTGCTGACGAGTGCAGGGTGTTCTTTCAGGTTACAGAGAAAGTGTGTTCTACTGAGATTACAGTTCATGAAAGTCATTATTGTTTGCACTGAAAAAAAAAAACAGTTCTCTAAAGCCTTTGCTGTGGAACCCAGTCAGTAGCTTCGACTCACTAATGATGCTGAACTTTGATCTCTCAAAAAGCTTCAGAACAGGAATCAATTCCTCTGGGCCAAGAATTTAGAAAACCCTGAAAAAGGGGAAAAAACAAAGGTGAGAAAAATTAATTAGGTCATATCACATATAGAACTCAGTCAATCATTTAATTTTTGAAATATTGGTGTTCTAGCTCAAGCACAACTATCAAATTAATAAAAAGTACATGATGTGTGTGTGTGCACACACATTTGTTTGTGTGTATGTGTGCGTGTGTGTGTATTTAGTACTAGTCATCGTTCTAAGTAATCACTGTAAGTGTTGGAACACATCCCCTCCAGGGATAGGGGACAACCATGCTGAAGAAGAGATGCATTTAAATTACTATTCACAACATCAGAAGGTCACCAGGCCCTAGATATCATGTCCTTAACTTTAGTTTTGTACCTGGATTCTCTTTTCATCACCCCTTAAGAATGGTAATTCTTACAGTTGTTTTCCAGATTAGGGAACTGCTGGAAGTACTGTTCCTCAGGGTCCCTTCATACTTATGAACTACAAGCTACATAGTTTCCTTGGTGCTTGCAGGGCTTCCAGGTATAACTAAATTCAAAGGCTGATACGGCACAGCTATCTGCCCATGGTATCAAACTGACCTAAAAGATGTTAGTTGATTCAAAAGAAAGGATCTTTTTCAGAGCCTCTGTAACTTTTGAAAGCCACTAATGTGTTTGTTGCATTCAGTGTGTACCAACGAGAGCATTGCTGTAATGACTCCAAATTGAAATGATTCTTACAAAGAAGTAGCTCCATTTGAGGAAATGTCCTAGGTCCCTCCAGACTGCATTTACTCAAGTCCTTTTGCCAATCTGCACAGACCATTAAGTTAGACTGTGGGGATTAGAAACGAAGAGGAAGCAGCAAGGGCAAGGACAAGTGAGACTCTATAGAAAACACAATCCTTGGCATTTTCTAACAGTGCCAAGTGCTGTCTCCCCAGATAAAGTACCTAATTTGCTTTTCCATCCTTGTGTGTCTCGTCTGTTTTTAAGCTGAAATGGGGGAAAAACTGGAAATTCAGTGCCTGAATAGATCATGCAGGTTCACTTGTAACATACTTTGTACTTAAAATGTCAGATTTCATGTGTCCTAGACACATATTTTACAGAATACATTTTTAAAACATTCAAGGGGTTGGGAATGCTTGAATTCAATTAATAGTCATGCATGTCTTGGACTGCAGATAGAAGTCTGCACTCTCAAAATCCATGAGTTTGTCCTGCGAGTGAATCAAGGAAGGGAAGGTGTTTGCTACCAAGCCTGATGATCTGAGTTTAATCCCTGTGAACAACATGGTGGGAGAAGAGAACTAACTCTTTTGAGTTGACCTCTGACCTCTACATGTACAAACTGTAAGCATCCACCCACTTATTCAGTGAATATATACATGTAAAAATTGAGAAAGGAAAGGTAGTAAACCATGAAAGCAACTGAAAGAGGGGAATTTGAAGAATTTAACAGAAACAAAATTAAATCAACACAATGCAATAAACAGTATGATCCTTTTGCCCGTAGGTGGGCTAATAGGTTAATATATTAGTGCCTGGGTTGGTGTATAAAATGGTGACCAAAAAGATCCTAAGGAGTCAAAAGTCCATTGAGAAAGTCAGGTTATTTCCTCTAGAAGACAGGACTGAACTGTGATTCTAATTTAGCAAGATAGAATCTTACTGAAGATCCTTGAGAAATACAGGGTAGAAGAAAGAATATGGTGATCCTGGGCATAGATAAGGGAGAAAGAACCACCTGACCTTCAAGCAAAAATAATTTGCTACCTGAAACATATGTTCCATACTCAGTGATGGGACATCTGTACAGGAAAAATTCATATCACTAGTCACTAAAATCATACAGCTACTCCCTTGCTCGAATTTCCTTTTCTTCTAGGTCCTTCTTAGATTAGGTTATCTTCCCAAAGAGTTCTTCCTTCAGGAGTGAAAGTTCTAGTCCTGTCTGTGGCGCCCTCTGTGCTTAGTTTAGTTTAAAACCGTATTTCATCCACTTGTTCAATGTGTGCTGGCTAAATTGCATTTCTGAGCATTTGCACTGAGGACAAAACTGGACTGCAATTAGTTTACCTAACTATGTACCAATTTATGAAACCCCTCTTCAGCTAGACTGTAGCTCTACTTTAAGAATCCTTTACCACCAATACCTTTAACAAAGCAGAAAGAAAATGAGAAAATGAGCTAACTATTCTGATCCTATTGGTTAAACACACTCTGAACACTAGTCAGATTAGGAGGGATAAATTCATTTTTACTTTATTCTTACTTTCTTATGTAAAGAGAGCTGTGGCTTTACACACTTCAAATATGTATTTCTCCCAGTGTAGTTAATAACCTTGATGAACTGGGCTAAACTCTTCTGCTTGGAACATGGTCATTTTGGACATGTTATTAACTCCAGTGGTCATCAAAAATGTTACATCAATAATTATCAGAGCTTCCACACACAAAAAATCAAATAATTACCAGAGCTTCAAATAGACACATGAGGGTTTTTTGTTTTTGTTTGTTTGTTTGTTTTTAGTATCTGTTTTAGACAACACGCAGTAGAAATAACAAGGGCTAATAATGACTAGATAAAAAATAGTCATGTCTGAGTAGATCTCACTACTATTTTGTTTAAAAACAATCCCCCCATTGCGTGTGTGTGTGTGTGTGTGTGTGTGTGTGTGTGTGTGTGTGTGTGTGTATGCCATGTATGTGTGGGTGTCCTTGGAAGCCACACGAGGGTGTTGTATCCCTTGGAGTTGGGACAGATGCTTGTGAGTTTCCCTATTTGGCCTATTTGGGTGCTCAGAAAAAAGCTTGGAAGAGCAGAAGTTTTCCTTAACCTCTGAGTCATCTCTCCAGCTCCATTGGTAATTATTTAACTTGATGCTCTAAAACAGAATGTTTATGAATGATCTCTTAGTATGAAATTAATAAAAAATAAAACCATCTCCTCTTTGCTTGCTTCTGTGTGACAGCATAAGAGTCAGACAGATTTTAAACATGCTTAGATGTTTAGAACCCAAGCAAATATCATACTACAGTTTACATATGAGGACTTTCATATACTTATGGTGATTGTACAGGCAACTCTAACCGGAGTACCACAAAACTCACACACAAGACTTGGACAAAAAGAAAACTAGCAAAGAGATAATCATGAGGTCGGGAGCACAGAAGCAGCTCTTTCTTTATAAAGGGCAGGTAGGCAGATGCTGTGAAGTGCAGGCATTGTTTTCAGTAGAGAAGCCTTCCCTTATAGACAAATCTATGTGTCACATCATCAATAAGCAGAACAACTCAGATTTCTTTTTTTTATTTTACAGTAGTATTATTATCTCAAACAACTGTGACATTAACTTAAAAAAACTGGGCCTTATTGTGTGTGGCCCAAGAAGGTCTCCTGCTTGAGCTTTGTCATCATTTCTTGGCATCTATGGCTGAGATTAACTGTTATATAAACCTTTGAAGGACTCAGAAAGTATCTCAAAATAGAAGCAAAAGAAGGAAGCTATAAATCACTTTAAGATTTTGTTCAAGAAGAATTCAGGTGACACCACCAGCAATAGGGATGTTGGATGTGCTGATTTGGGTTTCACAAATATTAGAAACTATGATATGTTCCCACACCAGTCCATCACAGCTTTCTGTCCCTATTTTTGTTCTTTCAAATGTGATTCTCCACAAACAGAAATTTTTACAATTATCACTCTCATTCTGAAAACAATCATTAGTGCTCCCGCATACTTGCCTCACACTCAAGCCATATAATAACTCAGGGTCATTCCACTTAGGTAGATGGTCATTTATTTATCACAGACTCATTTCACACAGATGTGTAAATTTTTCCTGCTGACAGGTTGGTGGTCTTTATCTGATAGTTCTTTGGCTGTTAATAATTATGCTGCATTTCCCAATTTTTGCATTGGCAGTTGACACAAGTTCTGAAATAGAGTCAGTAACAGTCCCTTAGCAACTAACTCAAGATAACTGTTAAACTTTTGCTCTTAAGTCAGCATTTCTGAGTTCATGTCTGACCACATGTATGGGCACTCTCCTGAGACCTTAAGAACACTTCTGAGCCATGTACTTGCTCTCCTTGTTCAAGCTTTCATATTTTTTTGGTGCTAGGAATAGAAAGATGTAGCACTGGGCCCTGCCCATACTAGTTAAATGTTCTGTTAGTCTGATATACATCCTAAACCTCATTCCCTTTACTTTAAGAAGTCTAAATTGTATAATATGATTTGCAAACCTTTTGCACATGGTCCTTGACTACCCCCTCCTCATGTATCTATTTTATAGTCACATTCAACATTTTATTCTTCTAAAGAAGCCATAAATTTTTATCTTTTTACTTTTTGATGAGTCAAAGACATGAAAGTAGAAGTAGGACTGTTGAGAAAAGGAAGGGGATCAGTGGTAGTGGGAAGGGGACAAGAAAGGGTAATGGGTGACAAATATGACAGCGAATTACATGGAAGAAAATGTCATAATTAAATTCATTATTGTATAAAATTAATATATGTTAATAGAAATGTGAGAAGGAAGTCATGACATCCCTTGGCTTCAGCTCTTCCTACTTGCCTGCTTAGGAGTATTTAAACTAGTATTTTCCAAAGATACCCCACTGTAATCCCCAGAACCCATGAATACATTAACATATACAGCAAAAAGTATTTGCAGATGGGATTAAATGAAAGGGTCTGAGGTGTAAAAATTTGTGTAGATGTTGTAGTAGACTCTTCATAGTCTCTAGCATCATCACAAAGGGGTTAATATCTGGATGTGATGATGTATACCTGTAACTACAGCCTTAAATATGCCGAAGCAAGTGGGTCACAAATTCAAGGCCAGCCTGCACAATTTAGTAAGAATCTCAAAATGTAATGAAATTCATTACCTTCTATGTAAAATTTCAAACTAATGAAATACATTTTTAAAATAATCATACTGGGACTATTCATATAGTCAACTACATAAGACACTAGAAAATATCAGCTGGGTAGACAAAGATTAATTTTATATGCAAAGCTCT